TCTAAATTCTGTCAATTTTTGATTTTAGGAATATCGATCAACGAACTATGTTTTGATCTTGGAATCACAACATCATTTCGAATTATTTAATATGAAAGACTTAATAGATTTAAATTTTGAGAAACTGCATACATTGGGAGAATCATTTTTGCCAACATTGAAACGTTTCAAAGATACTTGATAACAAGCTGTAGTACCACAAATGTCCAGCTCGAAGAAACGAGTTTACACGTATCAGATCAAAGATGAAATTTGCTCACTGTCGATAGATGAATCACACAACTAAACATTATGCAATGTCTCCTTTACAATCCTGATTGTCGTTTAGATATATGATCCTGAGCTTGATTGATCACCAAGCAGTCTGCGTACCTCGAACGTTAGTAGAATAACTGAATCTAGTTGAACCATCGTAGTCTGATTGCCTCGATTGCCGAGTGACATTTAATATCAGCCTTTCAGATTAATTAAAATAGTTCTCACCGATTCCTACTTCGAATATTTTCTCCAACGACCGATCATCGATTCTAAGATAAAGATTCCTCGAGAAATATTTCACAGGCATAGAAGATGATTTATACAATCATAAAATACGGCCATCATAGTCGAACAATTATGCTCACGGAATGCAAAGGGCTATATCGGTCACAAACTCGATTTCTCCGGTAATTCCAACATCATCCTCGAGTAGTAAGGTCAACCGTGATTCTGACAGTAAGGAAGTCGTTCGACTTGAAATTCTTCGGTGAAATTCCTCGATAGAGGAGGCGTATTCTCGGCAGGATTGTTAGATCGTGAAATGAGCGTCGATCTCAAAAAAAAAAAAAAGAAGAAAAAAGGATTCGTTTTAATGCCGAAATAAAAAAGAATTTTATCGAGCTCCGCTCTTAGACTCTCAGAGGGTATCGGTTAGAATTCCAATGGATTCCAACGATTCCAAACGATCGTCAGCTTGGTAGTAAAGCGTATGCATCATTCTAAATGAGCATCGGGATAAATAAGACGATAATCGTATGCGTACTTTCGCCACGAAGAACAATGTTGCTCGATGAACGCCTTGACCTAAACCGCCTCTCTTGCCTTCACGTTGCCTGACTTATTAGAAAGAAAATGTCGATCGAAGAGTATATACCTTCCAATGGCTATAAATTAGCCTTTCCTGTCGATGCTTTTACCAGATCGTCGGTTAGATCGGAAAAGAAACGAACACGGAATGATCAAACGTCCATGATTAAACAGCGATGAGATTGAACCAAAGACATGCACGCACATTGTTCGTGGAGAAGCAATAAAGGATCATACAAGGCAATGCAATATAAATGTAAATTGATGTCGTTACGGCAGCTTGGTATCTAATCATCCATTGCTCGTCCACGATAACTTCACGTTAATCAATGCTTAACGCTTGTCAATTTTCGTACTAATAACTTATGAATAGATTATGATTAATCGTGTGTCACTTGATAAATGGAAGAACAAAAAAGTCAATGTACAGTTACTCGATCTATGAAATTGCTTCGTTCGATAGAGGAATATACGTTTTATTATTATGATAATATTGTGTGGAATAGTTTCATGAAGATACAAGATAAATCGACTGTGACAACGAGCCTGCTCGATTGCAATTAGCATTCAACTGCGATTTGCCAGGCTGACTTCTGTTTGGGAGATGTAGTAGCGTATCGTGGTCCTCGTAGGACACGTATCGAACGTTGTATTGACCGGTGAGATCACGATCGACTAAGTTATCGCGATTTAAGCACGCCTAGTCTCGTTAATCACGATCCAACCGTTTGGATCGCGATCGAGGCGCGAGATCTCGACAGTGACACTTGGATCTACCTTGCGACTCTTTCTCTTTCTCTGTATGTATAATCTGTATCTGTATACATATTGTTGTACTCGTGCACGCGTTATCTGACCAAACTCAGGCGTTGTAAATCACGCGTTTATCTCGTTCGAGATCGAATCGGTGATAGACTTAATGCATCTCTAGGACTGGATAACGGTGGCTTAACATTTCTCCGAATCTCAGCGTGAATCTGAGATTAATTGCAGATTAATTCTCGTTTCGTCGAACGTGGATACGTCGATGATATTGGGCGCGAATCGAAAAGTTTTATCGATGAGACGTCGTTTTATTTGTACAGTTGTTTTTGCATCGTTTTGGAAATTGAATCTTGATAAGGTTATTTATATTTTTACGAGGCTTGATAAGAAACGTAATTATAACTCGAATTTAACTAAAAATTGGTGTTCGATGATGGATTTAAGAAGCCTTTCTTTGAAATTTTGAATCGATGAAAATGATTTCTATGGCAATAGATATTATGATTTATCTGGATAAAAGTTGTCAAGTTAATTATAGTTTATAATTTTAATAATTTAATGTAGATTGATAGAGTACATTTGTTTCATTTCTTAGAATTTTCCTACTACTTTTTTCCAAAAGAAAGATAGATCATTAATGATAAAAAGAGTAAAAGTTAAAAAAAATCATTATGCAGAAATTAAGGTAATAACTTAGAAATTATATATCATTAATGTAATAAACACGTATAATCTATGGAAAATAATAATATATAATTAACTTTAATCGAGATATAACGGATCTTAAAAATTAATAAATGTTTTCCTGATTCAGAAAACAAGAATCTTGAAAAATATATATTGCAAAAATATCAAATACCAGTTACGATATAATAAATATACGAACAACTTTAATAGAAAATTATTATTTTCTAATCGCATGTTTGATTAATCGACTGAACGTGAAAAGTTACACAAATTAGCAATCAGTCTACGTCTGTAGACATTTTTCTCCAATCTTGTAATACGATAATTACATCTTGTTCGTGTTACTACCAACTTCAAGATATTCCATTTAAGAGAAAGTACATTAACTAACTTGATTAATCTACTCGAAATGTTAAATTAATCAAAAGATATTCGTATATCCACTAATAATTGTAACAATCTTTCCACCCTTTCTTCAATGAAAAGAGTTACGTTTTCACAGATCCTTATTTTTCTCAAAGGTATCCTTTTAATCGGCAAAAATTCACTCGATCTATAAATTCATTTTGTTTACCACAGGTAATCTATAATTTACAATAGATAAATCTAATAATAATTTTTTTTCTCGAAAATAAAATGAATATCAAAATTCCAGATCTTACGATTCATTGGCGATGATGACGGATATTGCAAGTTGCTCGAACCATGATAAGCGAAGAGAAGATATTTCGATCACCATTTTTTTATTTAACGCAGTTGGAGGAACATAAACATGCCTTCGTGTCAAAAGGTGAAGGCGAACGAAATGGATTTTCCGTTTTTACGACGTTGTGAGAAAATGATCTTTCAGTTGATTTGTACCGAAGTCAATTGACTTTACTTCATACCTATCACCTTTACTCGGTACTTCGAGGTGATCACTTTATTCTCATATCGATAATGCGTATTGCACATATACTAATAATTACTCTGTTTATGCGATTGTATCTTTCAGGGTCGAAAAATCGCGATTAGAAAAACAATTGCCTATTTATGTCAGATATTTATTCAATGCCTTCGTTGGAAAATCGTGTCTCGGAAAAGGATAGACGTCTGGATAACATTGGTTAACGATTAATAATCTGTCTTTTCAAATCGATAGAATTATAATTGTTTTCTTTCAAAAAGAGGTAAAAGTTATGCGTTTTCTGTGTTATAAGTAGGTATTATATTCAGTGATAATATCTACTTCACTATATTTCTTCACGATTTTATATTAATATTTCTTTGTTCATTTGTTTAATTATTATTTTTATTAAAAAATTATTATTATCAATTCATTTATACATTTGTTATGTATTACAATTTAAATATTAATATCCTATTTCTCATAGCAATTGAAATTTTTTTTTATTAGTTATAACGATTTAAAATATAATGGGCATCTAAATAAGTGAATTAATAAATTTATAATTTCAAAGTTCCAGTTGAAAAAGCTGCAAGAAAAAATGTGTTTTAAAATCAATGCTAATGAAATGCACATAATAAGATAATAACTTTTTGCATCATAAAAATACGTCACTGCCGCCTAACAGCCTCGACTCTTGAATACTTTTCAGACCGCAAAAATTTCGCTCTTCATCTTATCACGTGGATCACCTTTTTTAAGTCTTGTCCCCTCTTGTTTTTATTTTACAAAAATACCAGCAGGCATTCTTCCTCTTAAGGATTTTTTATGTGTAACAAAAAGTCGGTGAGAAATCGTCACGAGTCCTTCAATTAAGCCTATAAATCGTAAGAAATCGTGGTTGCGAGATCAAACTGGACGTCAGTTCACCGACCTGCGAAGCCCAACAAAGGATTCACGAGAAAGTTTTCACTCGTGACAGCAAATAACGGACCGTGACAAAGTAGTCGCAGCTTTTCTGCAACACCTGATACACGTCGCAATTACCCATGTCATCCTTAATTGGGTTACACCCGTTACAACGATTGCCATCGTTTTTCGCGTCGGTCCTTTTTATCCGATCTCGTGTTACACGACTGATAAACGTACCAAAATAATCGTTGTAATTTGCAAGCCATATCAGATATTTTCATTACACGTATCTTTTGTAGTTCTTTATTTTACTTTTATTCGTATTGCGGGTCTTGATTTGTTAACGAGCTTACTTGAAATCGTTTTAACGATCTATAGGATGTTATAGAACAATAGATTAATCTTCTATGTACATATTTAGTTTAATAATATATTATAATATTGATAGAATATTTATATCGCTGCAAAATGCAATTTTTTTTTTTTAATAATTTTTTCTCAATATTCTTAATAATTTCTGCATATGGTGTTATATAATTCATAATTGTATCGTTTTTATAATTATAAATTATATAATGAATGATGCGAGTCACTCGATTACACACGTGATCACGATTATATTTTTGCATACATAAAATCGATTTATTATTTCTAAATATTCTTATGCAAACTTTTTTTTTTAATTATTTCCTTCTTTTCATTTAGGTGTGATAATAAAATGAAGGACAAGTGAAAAAGAAAAGGAGAAGAAAGGTGTGTTTCGTTCGAAAGTAGCTGCACCAGGAATGTGAGCTGGAATGATTTACGATTCTTTGCAAGTCATAAAAACATCAGCTATAAGGGATGGAAAGTTTTTGCAAAGATTTGAAAGAAAATTTACGATGTGCTCTCAAGTTTCGATATAGTGGAACAGTATCTTTAATTACGAGGTAAAATGATTGGTCTTGATAGTTGACGCGAATCTTTAATATATCGGTGGCGATAAATTAGTAAAATCTCGATTGACTATAATTTCTTCGAGGTATGGCATCGTTTCGAAATAAAATTTTTTATCCTTGTGGAAAAGAATTCGATATCTTAATAACTCGTAACACTTGAGAAATTATTAGGTATTTTGATATGGATAATTACTAGTTAGTAAATTAGTCTTGTAGAATTTAGTGCTGTTATTTAAGGCTTTAATTTCAGGTTCTCTATAAAAATAAAATCTATTTACTCGTTTCGTAAATAAACAAGTGACCTCGAGATAGTTTGAATAAAATTTCATTTTAATTGTGCTGATTAATTATAGATATGATTCCGAAGAATTAATTGCTATAATGATGTCCAAGTTTGGTGAATATAAGAAGAAGATATTAAAAATATTTTGATCCTTAAAATTGAATTAAGCAGAGAAGTAAAATTCGACTGTTAATTAATTACGGTCTTCTAAATTGTTCATTTAATTTTTCATGTTTTTTTATTATAGTTTTTTTTATAATAATTTTGAATTGTTACTTTACGATAGATAAATTCACAATTTTAGTGATAAGATTTCGTAATTTATCGATTCGATTAATATCAAGTTTGAAAAGCGTTAAATATTATTAATACATAGTAATAAATATCTATTTTTCAGATCGAATAAAGTTACTTTTGATCTTACGGATCGCAGAATCTATAAATGATCTGTCTATATTAAATTATCGAAAAAACTATATAATTTTCGATTAATTGAGGGGTATTTCTTTGGAAAAAAGAATGGTCGATCACAGCATGCAATTTGTAACTGGTTCTAAGTACTCGATATTGATGAACAAATTATGATTAATGTCGTAAAAAAAAAGATAAGTAATACTAAATAATTATAATTTCCTTTTTATTTGTAATTTATTATTTTTTTTAATAGCAAAAAAGTTGAAATATGTAGTTTATTAAATATTATGCAAATCTATTTCAATGTATCTAAATCTCAAAGATTAATCCCTTATAATCTGATATCTCTTTAACATAAAATTAAAAGTTTATTATTTTCTTTTCAAAAGATTTTCAAATTTAACTGGATTACCACTATTTAGTAATACATTTAGTATTACTATTTAGTAATACATCATTATATTCCAAGCTAAGAATATAAAAAAATTACTAAAATCTAAGAAATTGAACAATGTGAATTTGAAAATTTTTGTTATTGATATAAGGATTAAATTTTATCCTCATATTTCCAACTTTTTTCTCTACATTTTAATTCATCCACTTCTTCAAAACATCAATCTTAAATTCTTCTAAAACTTAACACGTTCGTTGTCGCATTTCTCATGACAAACTTGTTTATTAATTTTACTTACGTATAGTACAAGAATTAATTAACTACATTTGCTCAGTATTTTTTTTTTTTACAATTAACGTAATCAAAGCATTTTTTTTTTAAATGCGGCAACGAACGCATTTTAATCCTTCTAAAATAATATCCAATAGATTTGCGCGTATCGATCCGAAAAAGAAGACAATCGTAAAAGCAGTGGAAGTAGACTGTTCGGTCGATCGTAATCGGTTTTTTCAGTCGTATATCAGCGGCAAGATTGGTTTCAGAAAATAACTCGGACTCGAGTTATTCTCGACTCGAAGGCCGCGTGCCCGTTCCGCGTGGCACAATTGCACAATTGCGAATCTGTCCGATATCTATCAGCTGACGGGCATCCCCCTTTCACCCCCGTCCACTTGTTTTTCCCGTGGATATCGTCGCTTCGCAGCAGTTCGTTTTTTTTTTTCGCAACGACTCGTTAGGATCTAACGATGCCGCTCCGTGTTGCTTGTGCAATTGATTGGCAACAGGTTCTGTACCGAAGGAGATTCCTTGTTGTTGATTCGGTGTTATTAAAATCGAAAGGAGAAAGGATCGATACGTATCAATCGTAACTATTGATCGTACTTGTCTAGAATTGAATAGGTATTTTTTTTTTTTTAGTTAAAGTATGAATAAGTGAATATTTTGTTATCGTATTAAAATTGTTGGAGATAAAAATTAGAGCATGTAGATATTCTTAAGTGGATTTACTAATTTTTTAGATATATCGTATTGGGGATGAAAGAAGTAAGAAAAGTATCTCATGTTATCTCACGGATCTTATTTGCAATTTAAATATTGTAATTAACTATCACGTTTCTATAGTATTAAAAATTTATGTGACTCGATTAATTTAAGGATTGAACGAGATTATTTTAGCTGTTTACATGGAATGTGAATATTTCAATTTGTGAATATATACGTGAAGTTTTATATTTTTAATTGCAAATAAATTGTGATATATTCAAAATAATTTTATCTATTAAAATTCCCGTTTCAGATGGAGAATTTTAATTTAAAAAATATTCCAAAGTGAAATTCAACTAATAATCGGTGCTTTTATCATTCAAATTAGTGTCTTCAATATTATCATAATTGAAGCGTGCTGCCATCTTGCAGGATGATCATGCACCAAACTTACAATATCTGCTGTCTTCTTATCATCTCATATCACTAAATATTCAAAACCTACAATTTACTTTAATATTTTTCTCATCCTTCAAAAACTATTTCTCTTTTACGTAACAGACGCTAGAAAGCTACTTATTATTCTCCATTCATTTTTCAACATTTTCACATATTTACACAGAATAATATAAAAGTCATATTGGATACATGCATGATAGAAATGATAGAAATGATAGAAATATTTATAAATATAAGAATTGTAGACGCTTAAATTTATAATAAATGCATGAGAAGAATATTAAATATATATAAGAGAGATTAGCAATTCAAAATTAATTTTCTTTTTCAGTTAAAAGTTTAAAAAATGAACAATGAAAAGTACTCACCTTCTTACGATGCGGACAGCAAGAAGATCCATTGCCCATGGTTCGATCCTTCAAACGAAAGCGAAAGAATCAACTCTCACACTAATTCATAACACTTTAATACAACGCTTCCAAAATTTTCTTCGCACAATCATTTCTTTCTTTCTTCACCGCTGTTTCAAGAAAATTGCAGGCTTATTATCGCGTTGGTATTCGAGCCAACCATTCCATCGATAGTCCAATCGCTTTTATTAACAATCTCGACAAGATCACCTTCTCGTAAGTTTTATATCTGATCCGAAGGAAAAGGTAATCGATGGAAATATCATACAATTTTCCTCTTGCACGCTTATTTTTCCATCATATTCTTTTATAGGTTCCTTTAAATTTTCCTCATTTTATCATCGTACTGATATCCAGATCAACGGAATCAATGTGAAAGATCTTGATCTCGTAGATGAAGTGAAGAAACGAGTGGAAAAGAGACTAGCAAGTGGCAGTACGGTGAAATGACCGCAAGAAATCGAAGAAGCCTTAGTAATTGAGAGAAATGGATGAGCTGACAGTAATGTTCTGATAATATGGATTACCGTGTCAACTGTGCTCCTCGTGGAAATATAAAGTTTCGTCGCGCAACATCTTCCTGGATGAAATTAATTAAGTCGAACAGTCAAATATCCGAAGAGAGCATTCGGTCAGTGATTCCTTCGCTCAAGATCGATGATTCCTCCCTTCAGGAAGATTAACGAGACTCCAGACACGAAGAAGTTCGTTTCGAATCGAGTTGGTCACCGTTTAAATTTTGTTCTTTCGATTTTCTTCTTTTATTTCCGCTCGCTTTTTCGAAATTCGCGCGCAGAATAGATCGGCTGTTAGCAATCGAGCGATAAGACCTCGGTTTTGACCTCTCGATGCGGGAATATGGAAGCGCTAATGAGTGTCAAGAGGTTGGCCAAGTCGAAAATAGAATCTGACGTGCTCCGTAAGAATTTTTTTTAATATCGCCTCGACGGATCGTCGACGCTGCGATCCGAGCCATTTCGATCGTTTCAATCGTTCCAACTTTGCTATAAAGTTTTTAACGATAAGATAAGTTCACGAGAATAGAGGATAATTTCACGATCACTTAGATCTTGACAATATAAAGAAAATTAACGATTTATTAATGCAGAAATAAAAAAGAAGAGGATTGTGAAACTTTTTATAAAGATCTTCTCGAAATTAGAGCTCTTTGATGTTGCAAGTGAATACAGCTCTGTTTAATACTGAGAAAATATGCGCATGAAGATTCGAGTATTTCGTATATTTAACCCTCGGACCATAGACGGCGATGACTAAGTCATTTCTACCTCCTACATCATTACTTTATTAAATTATACACGTTTGAAGAAAATTATAGAATCATATCATTCAAAAGTTACATATATAAAACGAAATAAATCATAAACAGTTACAAAAATGTAAAATATATATAGAATATCGATAATCGAATATTTTTAATACAATTCTATCTCCAAGATATTTTTCATTCGCTTTTTGAATGATCCAATTAGTCAACCGAGGGTTAATTACCAATGCAACTCAAACGAAAACAAAAATAATTTCGTATTATACGTACACCTATACCGAACGATTGCTCGACGTTTATATGCGCGTTTCGCAACGAAAGGATTAAAAATCGACGTGGCTCGATCGCGAGAGAGAAAGACTTGATCACCGGTTCGGCGTGTTTCAAAAACTGCCATCGAATTTCGAGGAAAGTAACCGGGGTCCGCTCGCACGTGTTTACGCGTGCGCCAGCACACGGTACCAATATCCACGCGAGTCACCGCTTTATTTTCCACCGTTACATCACTGTCGTCAGCGTTTCACTGCCGCTTCACGATAGTGCGCGCAGTTTATCGAGCCTCGAGAAAACAATGATCCATCGTGTCCATCGTGATTTGCCTTTCCGGCACCGTTCCTCTTCGCCAACCTTCGTAACCTTCTCCACCTTCATGCTCGATTTTCTTCCTCTCTTTGAAACAGTCTATTCTGGAATATAAATCGATGGATTTCAAAATATTAATTAACGAAACACGTCGAGTTGATCTTTTGGAAATTTATCTTGCGATCAATCGACCAAGATAGAATTCCTTCTTACGGAATTTTAAAGTGATAACACACTTTTAGAATTTTAAAACGATTAACACACTTTGCAAGTGAAAATTTTAAATACATAAGGAATTTTTGCATTAATAAGTCACGTCGAATCGCTCCTCGGGAATTTAACTCGCGATTAAATCGACGAATACGAAATTCTTAGAGGTATTCGATAATTAAACGAAGAATTTCGCGCTCTTGAAATGCCAAAGTATGTGAGAACGAACGCGAGGATCGCGAGGCACTCGACACATACATAACTGGCAAACTCCGTGTACTTCATTCTTGCGCAGCACGTGTTGATCGTAAACAGTGGCTTGCGTCAGCGCGCGCGGAAACTTGTTTTGTCAATGGACTGATAGATCGCGTGAAAACTGATGTCGTCTAAGGACGGACGAGGAATAATCTGAACAATAAACAAAGCGAGTCCTCTTTCCACGAAAGACTGAAATACACTCGACACAGGTCGAAATAACGAAATCTGTCTATCTCTCTTAACTATTTTTCGAACCACTTCTCGCTATTTTCCCACGATGTGGACGGACGTCGTGATGAATCGATGAAATTTTCATTCGCGACACTGTGACGTAATGAAACTCGTCTTCGTACTGATGAAGAGACTGAATTTCACTCGAGCTACGAATCGCTGACATCATTCCGTTCGTGTTGCATTTTTATCACTTGAATATTATATATTTTTTTTATCACAAACGTTTAAAAATATTACGTTACGATTATTTATTTATTATTCTCACCATTTTGATTATACCACAATATCTATTACTGTATTCACTATTATATTGTTCTTATTATTTTCGCCATATTTTGGAGATATTATAATCAACTTCCACTCATCAGTCTCCTTGACTGGAAGGAATAAAACCACTAACTAGCCGCTCGTTATCGCGTTGGCGCACTTAACAAGCAGTCGATAATATTTTCCATACGATATTAGTTTCTATAGTTAGCAACAGGCGAGTAGGTTTCGATGAAAGTGTGAGATTAAAACTATGTAACACGCGATCTGATGGTTGCTCGAGGCTTAAAAACCGGCGAGCACGTAATCGAAAGAGAGGCAGAAGAAGACTGAGGAAAGAGGCGAGTTCGGGACTCACCTTTTTCGCGCGTCGTGAGCGTAGTTTCTTATCGTGTGCCGCCTGTAAACATTGCTTACATCATCGTGATTGTCGACGTTGTCGGTACGCGGGCCACGTCGATTTCGAACTGGTACCACAGGGCCAACCACTTGCGTGCCATCCTGGTTTCCGATCACGATGCGTCGTAATTTCGAAATGGTATTCTTTTCAAAAAGAAGAGAATCGTTAGAGCGAGGAAAACGCGATCACAGAACTGAAATTATAATATGAATCGGGATTTCTGTAAACGTTATTTCTTGTTCTAGGTTGAGAATTGGAGATGGAGTTGGTTAAAGTCTTTGAATGTTTGATGTGGAATGGAAATAATTTTTGTACACCTTTATATGTATCGAATTTTGAATAATATCATCTTGAAAATTCAATTGCTAAAAGAATCATTCAGAATTCTCTGTCGTTCAAGTAACAGGTATTATTTTTTAAACTATTTCATACTGAACATAAGTTATTTTTATATTTTTATAATAAGTACAATAATTTATTTGGAAAGAATATTAAAAAGAATAAATATATTTTATATGTAAATACAGAATTTAGAATAATCTAGATAACATAATTATTTCAATTATTTAATTAATTAAAATTGATATTTCATTTTTTTGTTTTTATTATTTATTTTGTTATTTATTATTTAAATATTAAATAATTAAAAAAAATGACTTGAAATTTCTTCTTGTATATAAAAAAATAACATAAATTAAATATTAAATAATTTTTAATTTCAGGAATTAAATGTGATTACGTATATATGGAAATTTATCTTAAACGATTGGTTCAAAGATCTTATGTTAAGTTAAGTTGAGTATTTACTCTTTTCATCAGTAATCATTTTCAATCAATTGATCAGACAATGTACAAATTCGATGATTGAGAAGAAATTATGTTGATGTTCAATTTGTAATATCAACTACAAAGAGAAAAAGATCAGAAGACTGCCCACGTGTAATCTAAGATTCGCTTCCCTTTATCATTAATCAGCATTTTCATTAGAACTTATTATTTTCTCGGCTATGATCCGTAATTCCTTAACAGTGTAACTTATGGCATCCGACAGACTGATTAGAATCTCCCTGGCTGTAATTTCTCCATAAGGCAGCTGCCATTTATCTCAACTGCCAATAACGACGATTATTCGTCACTTGCAAAATCTTCGGTTGCTTGCTTTCGAGATGTTCTTCATCAAGAAAAAATTCTTGGATGACTGGTGCAAGGTCCAAGGAAAATGAACTTTGATTTCGATATAAGTTTTTAAATTGATGATTCATTGATTTTTTATTTTTGATTTTTTTTCTAATAAATATACTTTTAATGAATTTTTTTCTATTATATATACATATATGTTTTAATAGAAAAATGAGAATGGGATAAATTATAAGCAGTAATGAATAAGTCTTGTGAATTAATACGCATAAAAATTTATATGTATGATTAAAAAAGCAATTGATATGATAATGAAAGCAATAAGCGATATTTAATTTTTTTTCTCAATTTAAAGTAGTATTTTAATAATACTTTAATAAAATAATACTTAAAATAATGTATAAATATCTGTATAAATAATATATAAATAATATATATATATATAATAATGTTTAAAATAATATATTTATAAAAAAATATAGAGTTTTGTATGATGAATAATAAAAATAATTTATGTTGATAAATAAATGCAATAAAGTCAAAATAAATCTTTAATGTGACATTAATTAGATATTTCAGTTAGATTTTGAAGAAAAGAGATTAAATCTATTTGAATATTAATTACCAATCAATATTGCAATTCATTATTCGAATATATTGCAATATCAGTATTCGAATAAATATTCAATAAAATGAATATATTACTTTTTTAAAAAAGAAGGAAATGTTATATTTTTTAATCCAATGCTTTTCAAAATAATGAAAATTGAAAATTGTGTTAATATTCTTTTATATTTCATAAATGTGGTTAATTTCAAAGGTTAAATAAAAGAAGAAATAACGACGATTTATCAAAACATGTATAACGATTTATTGAGGAGCTATTCAAGCATGTTAAATTTCATGAAATGCAGGTACCTACCTATCTACTCACTAGCGTTACATTAGACGCGCATTTTACTCGCAAAACTGTACGATCTATTTCTTTTTATTTTTTTATTTTTTTCTTTGAAGGAGAGTTGCATAAAATTGCATTTAGTTCCCTTCGCCGATCTGTTCTTGTTTAGCATTATCATCGCTGCATAACAAATCAAGTATCTCTAATGTTTGTAAATTCTCTAATATGTGCTATGTTTTAACAAAATTATTTTGTATATTATCACACAAAATTTTATTAAATTCTTTCTTCATTAAATTTATAATCAGAACATTTTCACAATATATTCTTCAATTTTTTTCTTTTCTTCTTTTTAATAAATTATATTGAGAAATAAATAATTTAGATAAAACAAACGAATCAACTTCCTTCGTTTCCTATCATTTACACGATATATATCGAAAATAATTCTTGTATTCGAATCACTTCCATGTTGACAAGGTTGCTGCTATGATCGTGCTAAACATCAGAATAAATCTGCCTACGTTAGTTTTGATTGCCAGTCTTCAATGCTCTGGTATTTTTTTCCTTTTTTCTAAGTTTTTTCCTTGTTTTTTAATTCTCTTTATTTTATTCTTAGAATTCGTCGTTCGCTTTGTCGATCATTCGAAAGCTAACGTCGAATTTTCGAAATGATTTCGATTAAACTTTCGTATTCGAAAACGGTGCTCGCACTATACAAAACGGTTGTTGCTGTTGCTATTTTATTATGCGTACAAACTAGAATCCTTTTTTAATCGTATGCAACGAGAAATCAAAGTATCTTTAATAATTTTTTATATTTTTATCTTTTTTATTTTTTCTTTATAAGAATTAGATTAATCATCTGAAGTAAAATTAAAATCGAATCAGCTAATCGATAATCGATTCACGGTGATAGGTTTCTCGAAAGAGAAACAAATTCGATTTCTCGCAGCATTCGATCGTTTCTTACGCTACCAGTCGAAGATAACCTTACAAACTTAATTTACACAATCGTTCTTATGTTTTCGTGAGAAATTATACGACGTGTGAATGCAAATTATCGAGCAATCGAGAAATTTCATCTGGAAAGTTTAATCGTCTCGCTTATTAATTTTTTTTTTTGAATATCTTTGTGTGTACGTATGTGTTGCGTATATTTATGCACGTGTTCTTTACATTTGTTCACCCGTGTGATTTTCGTGCTGATTTATTTTTTTTTCTTTTTTTGATTCGCAGTTTTCCATTTGTATTTGATTGTTTAGTCGAAAATTATCGAGCACGACGCATTTGGAATTAGAAAGGCTGGAATCGACTACGATTTTTATTATTTTTTTTTTCCGTGAAGTTTCATTTTCTACAACGATAAATGTGCATATACTGAGAAGTATCGATCGATCGTTCTTTTCTACGAAGAATCCAAAGGGAGAAGAAGAATGGAAAGATAAATTCTTCAATTCACATTCGATTCTTCGTCAAAGATTCTCGAAGCGGCCATAATTATAATTCATCGAGTTTTTACAGCTATTTAACAGAAAAAATAAGGGCTCAAGACCAATTTCGTGATTGTTTTCCTCCAGAAAGGTAATTTTAGAAATATTTTCGAATATTAAATTAAAATTTTTTAATTTAATTAGATTTTACACGCGTAATTTTGAGTGAAAATTCGTTAATAAAGTATTTAGTAACAAGATTAAAAACTTTAAGAAAATATAAATATGATTGAGAAGCTTTTTGAAAAAAGGCTTTATAGGAATTTATATATTGTCTATATTTATATATTCGTAACATATATAACAATATTTAACGATAATTAATTGAATTATTATTAATTATTTTTTCTATTATTTATTCAAATAATTGTTAGATTAATGAAAATGTCAAAGATAGACTATATTCTGCTAAATGTTATCAACTGCATTACACATTAAAAGAAATAAATTTTCTATAAATCATTATATAAATTAAATGTTTTATATTTATAATCATGAATCATCATATATAATTAGAATATCTTTTATTCGATAAATTGCTTTAAAAGCAATTTCAAATAAAGAAGTTGTAAAAATTATGCACATTCGAAAATATATTAAATTTTAATCAATTAATAGTTGTATTAAGACAAAATTTTTTTGTATATTCCAAAAAATAATCGTTATTAAATTTTTTACACTCAATAAAAATGCAAGAATTTACTTTAAACGAATAAAAAGTTTCATTCTGGTTGGCTATTTTGATCAAGAGAATTGCCTTAAGTGCCTTTTTTCAAAAAATGCTCCTTTGAATTTTACAATTTTGTGTCTGAAATTTTTCAAAACTGGTCTTCAAGCACCCGGTGCGTAGACATATCTACGACATGTGCACGATAAATCGAAATATATCGACTGCGATCAAGATCGAAAGCGTATATCGAATAGCCTGCGCGAATTCCTCTTTTCCCTTGTAAAGGATCGACGCGACAGTATCGACGCGACAGTATCGACATTATACCGTTATGGTCGGCTCCTTACAGTACGTTTTAAATTACGAGCTAGTTTCGAATAAACGCGACTCCGTCTATCGCAAATCGATTTACAAACACTACTTAGTTGTGAAAGACACGATTGAATCTACAATTGAAAAGGTCGATTTCGACGGGAACGGAATTAAATTTTTCACGTTTTGACAGCCAGTGGTCTAGTATCGATCATCTTACGACGATTACGAAAATTTCAAGAAGTTTTATGCATCGTAAAATTTTATCTTCATTTTAAGGATATATGAATAAAAAATATTATTTTGCTAACGTGAGTAGTTATAATCATAAATAACATAAAATTTTTATTTCCTTCCTTATATATTTATAAGTCCATTTATTAATCTTTATTTAATTTAGCTATATTAAAAAAAAAAATTATTCCATTCCTTTCGAAATCGACCTTCTGGCTACACATCATACACGGAGAAAAGGGTGATACAAAATCTATGTCCAATCGAAACCGACACACACAGATAGAATAAACTGCTGTTTAGTTATTAGTTTAATAGTAATCAGCAATAATTAATTGCTTCCATCTTGTTACGTAGATTAAACAGATATAGGCATCGTAGACACGTAATGTTACTTAATGGTTGTGTTTTTTTTTTTTTTGTTTAAATTACTTACAGTTTCTATTTACATCTGAGTACATCGCCATCGTGATGGTCTTGAGTCTTATCACGTGTTTTCTAAGAATATATTTTCGAAGAAAGCAACCTCGAACTTTTATCGTCAACGATCCACGTGGAAATTCTCGATCGAGGAAAAACGACTCGTGTCGATTCCTTAAAATTTTACTCCTCCTCTCATTTAACCAGAGAATTCTTATCGTGAAAAATTTCTTCTCTCCACCCGTATTCGAAATTACCGTGCAAAATATCTTCCGAGAAAATTTGTTTTCAAAAATATCTCTCTTAAATCTCTCTCCTTTTAGAGAATCGAGTTCATCAGGAAATCGTCGGCGAACCATATTTCTCCACCCTCCTCTCCTCTTATGTTACAACTGTTACTCGTAATCGCTATTACTAATCGTTATCAATAAACGCGATGCAAATTGTACTGTTTTACAATTATCATTTATATATTATTAAATCCTCGGCCGGCCTCGCTTACCCGAAAATACAAAAATTACACGGCGGAGATCAGCCTTTTCTACTTCGTTCCCCTATTTTTTTTCTTTTTTCTGTTTTAACCTACAAATATCAACTCTTGCCTCCTATCGTTGCGAGATAATAATAATAATAATAATATATTACAGGTAGCCCACCTTTATCACACGGTGGACACTTTCAATAGATACAGAATCGAGGATACGATCGACGATCTCCTGATGATCTCCGCACCGAGCTCTCGAACGATTTCCACTACGATCGATGAGAGAGGTTCGAGGAAGTTGCTAGGAAGAGGAAGAGAAAACGTACAATTAATGTGTGCACGGGATGTGGGATCGATTGATCGAAACTCCATACAGGTAGCTCTTCGATAAATCTGTAAATTTTATAATCGATTAATTTAATTCTTTTGAGAAGATAAGAAATCTTAATTATATTATTACTATTTTTTTTTTATTAACTTTTAGAAATACGAAGAAGAATAGATAGATCGGAAATTTTTCAAACATTTTCTTCTGGAGCCAATTTTATACAGGTGATATGAATTTTGAATTATATCTTTCTTTATTTATTCTTATTTCTTTTTTTTTCACGGTGAAGGGGTTGCGCCCATTCGATCGACACCCCGCACCCAGACAGTGTATAAATCTTACAAGTGTATGTGTGTGTTCAGGTGTATGTGTAGAAGGCATACGAGCATCCCTAAACATTATTTTGGCCGTGAATTTAGAGTGGTTGGAGCGCGAATGGACGGTCGCTGTTCATCAATCGAACGACCGTCCATTCGCCTCTAAAAAAAGTATACATATAATACCCGCTAATAGAAACGATCCTACGTGTGTAATAGCATCGACACGAAAGAATTTCTTACATATACATATCCGTAGAATATTCGTGCATGCACAATTCGTTCCATTCATTTTCACTTTCCCCCCGATTAAAGATTTCCTCTTATTAACGACAATGCAAGAGCGAATCTCGTGTCTCGCAAGTATAAATAATTCCTCTTTACGAAACAATTCTCGTGTTCTTGCTCTTCGTTAATAATAACGAAATATTCGACATTCGTGGTGGCAAATAAATGAAACACTCTGTACACACGAAAGTTTCTTTCCATAAAGTTTCTAAAAGAGTTCACACAGCTTATCGCTTTACGTACACGTATCGCCGACAAAGTTTCACCCTTATACATGTATATATATATATATATCTGTATATATATATATATATATATATATATATATATATANAG